TTCAATCAAGGGCCTTTGTACAGAAAGTAAGTAAAATGGAACTCAAGATTTGACACCATTTTTTTACTTCCGGTCTTATGGATTTTCACATATCTAAATATAATCTATAATCATTATGATTTTTAATTGAATTTGAATGGTAATGTGACTGTCTCACATGGCCACTCAAACCAAGTTGTCACCTGCATATTATTTATTATTATTATACTTCTGATGCAGACAAAGCCTTTTTTTCAGTCTTTACAAACGTCTTCTGTGCCTGTCTTCTAAAGAAAACTACAAGGTAACAAGGGCAAAGGCCAGGGCTTTTCTTTGGGCTAACCGTCTCATTCATAAACCATCTGCTGCCAGTCACTTTCCTTTCTTCCAGTGAGGGCAAAATGGTACTTGAGTTATGAGGGGCACCTCTGTTATGCCATCCTCCTTTAAGCTAACTAAAAATTATTGCCTTTGGCATGCAGTCATTCCTCCCTGTGGGATAACTGTCCAAAGGTAAATATTGCTTCTATGAAGTCCTCACCATCGTCCAGCATTTGTAAGGTAGTCCTGCTAATTGTATAATGTCCATTATGAAATGAAAGCACCTTTGACTATAACGATCAAGGAGCCTTAAATGTTTTCTATACAGTACCCAGCTCTCATAGCCATACAAAAGTGGGGTGAGAATCGCTGTTTGATAGACACTGATTTTTTAATGCAGGTGGAGCAATTTATTCTGACTCTCGCTTTGAGGTACCCTAATAGAATAGTGCAGAATGATCAATGTAAGAACTGAGATTTGTCATGTCACTCATTTGTATAGAGATTATACAAATCAACTCAGTCAACACTTCTTGCAGTGAAGGTTTACATCTTCTGATCTTTTTATGTTAAGGGAGTGTTTATATTTAAATCAGATCATTATAAGTATAAAATTCCGATCAATAGATTATATACCAAAAGCTGGGCTTTTCACACTTAAAGCTGATGGCCTCCTTTTGCTGGACATCTGGTAACCCTATAGAAATATTAAAAATAACTTTAAAAAAGATTTCCAAATTCACTTAATTTATCCTTGCTTGACAAGTAGAAGCAGAGGTTTCAATGCAACTTCAATGCAAGTTGTTTTGTAATGCATCATTTGAGAAGATAAAACTTATCAATTAATATATATTTGGTTTTACCATGCTAGGTTTGACTAGTATTTTAATTAGTTATGAAAACAAAATATTTGGTAACATATCTTGCCTTTAAAAGTATAAATTTACTATAAATATACTATAAATTTTGACATGCCATCCAAAGAGATCATAATTCTCAATTTGCTTAATCAAAGTTATTATACAAAATATTTAGACACTTTTATTATCAAACACAAAATATGTTTAGGACTAATGCAAAAGTAGAACAGATTGTCTGTGGGAGAAAATACCATATTATAGCTTACAAGTTTTAGTCAGTATAAATATGAAAAAAAGTATACTAAACTTGTAAGTTATAGTCATAAATATATATAGAGCAATTTTTTATCATCAAATTAGAAGTAAATAATTTAACACACAGGGTATATAAAGGCATCTCACCAGGCTTTAACTGACTGGGAACTAAGCAAATATAAATTATGGAATTTAAACACATATGCTGCGAATAATAGAACTAAATGCACATAAATGACTAAGCTGAACCCATATTATTAAACAGAGATAACTAAACCAAAGTAGATGATAGAAGGAAATACATATAGATCTTAGAACTACACGTATACATTCTGTAAAGTAAATATTATTTTAAAGGTTTTTTCTTTATTTTATTATTTATTTATTTGCAGGTGGCCATGGTTGAGATTACCATATCAGCGGAGGAGAAAAATCCTATCCCAGATGCACTGCTCATTGTCTTTGGTATTTGTACTACCCTTTTAGTAGTTGTACACTTGATGGCCTTAATGATCAGTACTTGCATCCTGCCGAACATAGAGGCTGTCAGCAATGTGCACAGTGTTCAGGCTGTCAACGAATCTCCACATGATGAAATGAGAGTCTGTGTAGAGATGGCCTGGGTTTGCTCCACTGGTCTGGGCATACTCCTCTTTCTCCTGGAGATAGCCTTACTGTGCTGGGTCAAGTTCTTCACCATCAGTCAGAACACTGCCATTGCCTCTACTGTTATAGTCATCCCCGCTGGAATTTTGTTCATTGCCTTCTCGCTCATGTTCTACAAAAGGCTGATGGCTCACAAATATCAGAGGCATACAGAAGGGCTGCGGGAGCTTGATGAAATGGCCAGAGAACTAGACAACAGAGGAGATGGAGTAAATATAATTTAACACTGCTATGTGATGGTTACAGTGATGCAAAAATGTGTACTTTTTTTTTTTTTTTTTTAAATAAAATTAAAATATGTTTGTGCTTGGATTTGTGTGTGCTATACTTCGAACAGCTGTTGTAATCAGACTTTTGGGAGATTTTAAACTTTATGATGAGATGTAACATTATTTTCTTAGATTGTACAAAGTGGGCTGGTTCCTATAGAAATAATTACCTATATATATATTTGTATTTACTTGATTGGTTAAAATGTTAAGTTTGTATGAGTGGGCATCATTTTTTTGTGCTGCAGCATAAGATCTGTTATTTTATTTTTAGTATTACTCTTGGTGGACATTTTTTAATATGATGATCAAAAATTTTATCAATTTTAATGACAATATGGACATTGTGGCAATCGTCACTTAGATTACACATTTTATACCTTATCTTTTAAATCTTTACCATCAGTTTTCATGTGAGTTTTTTGTTTGAATTTGTAAATAGGTATTAAGTAATTATCAGCTCTGGTGAAGTAGATCTTGTCTGATGTGCAACTTATTTGCATTGCTCAATCTCTAACCTTAACTGACCTAGTCACATCCTGACGCAATTTTCGTCACATTTACAATGTGTATATTCACTTATTCTTCTGCAGTTATTTAAGTCAAATCATCTGTTTGGGAAACTCTTTTATGAAGCTTAAGTTTTGCTGTACACGTGACAAATTTCATTTGATTTCTTATCAGCATGAAACATATTTAAAATTTATTTGTAACAAACATTTAATTTTGAAAATCATTTCTTACAATTTAAGATTTTCTGTAATTCAAATAATATACAGATCAATAACCTTCTTGGCATTATTGTTCATGGACACCTTTATAATGGCTTTGACACTTAAATTTTTATAGATCCTTTGGGCTTATCTTGAAGTATAATAAAAATAAAAAGATTCCATAAAGAGAAGAATCAGAAAAAGGAAAATTCAGATTTTTTCCCCCCTTAATATCAGTGCAGCATTGTATCAATATTTTGAATATTTTAATAATTTTAGAACTTTTCTTAGTGGAGCAAAAAAAAAATCAATTTTCTGTTTTTCCTGTGAGCGAGCATACTCCCATTGTGATACAATTCATTTTGTTTTCTTTTTCAATTGCGCTCTTAATCTTTATGTACAGGTAGCAGAAAAAAAGTGGTAATTTCAATAAAATCAGATGTCGTGACAGTTTACAGTGGGTGTTTGCTAGTGGAAGTCAAACTCAAGTCTGTAGTGTCAGTAATCAGTTTATGTTCTTGATCACAGTTCTGTAGAATACTGTCACATGTAAATACTTGTATACACCGGTACCTAACTTTTGGTTTGAATAAAAGAAATTAAAAGCTTAAAGTATTTTTCAGAATGTATAAATAAATTAAAGGAATATTAACATGATCTGTCAATGAAGTCTTAGATCTTTCAAATTTTATCTTATACATCACTCTTTGACAGTTTTTATTTTGTTCCCTTTCTTTTTAATGTTTGATCAAAATTTATATTTCTTTGTTCATACATTTTTCTTATGCTACACTGAAATAAGAAAATAACTTTGGTACGGTAAATATCAGTTTTGCACTTACAACTGTTTAAAATCTAAGTCAACTGAATTAAATATTTACAACTGCTATGTCTTGTATATTTTGTGAGAACACTAAAAGAATAAATATTCCTATAGATATGATTGTATATAGATTTATCTTTTGTTTTAGTTTTATTCCCTCAAAAACATGTTTAGATATTTAGGACGTGTGGCTGAGGGGGAGGGGGAAAGAATTTAGTTGCATGTAAGAAATTTTTTGGATCAAATCCAAAGTCTTGTCAGTGTTTACACTATTGAAGTTAAAATTATTTTATCTAACCCTCCCAAAGGTTTTGCTTGTTAGATCAGATACCATACTCTATCACAAGCATTTTTAACTTGAAAGATTATAGTTGGCAAATGTCAACATATACCCCTTTAACTTTATACTTTTCCTATGACAATATATTGACAAATCATATTTAGTTTTCTTTTTCAAGACAGTGGTTTCTTTTCAATATTCTAATAAACTTGAATGACAGTAGAATCTGGGCTCGTTAATTTCCTGGTATTTCCTTCAAACCATTAAGGCATGATCAGTTGAAGAGTGTCTTTTTTTTTTAAGGTTTATCTTCTAGACAACAATGTAAAACAAAATTGTATCCGGTAAATGTATTGTACAATGTCTTTGCCCAATTAGTTGAGTAGGACTAGGCTGAACATCTGAACTCTAACAGGGATGTTGCATATTTTGCCTTATGAAAAAATATGTCAATAAGACTGTAGAAGTTTGATTCCAAAAGGAAATTTTTATATTTTAAAGATGTTTAAATCCACCCGACCTTAATAATAGAAAGTAAATGCTAGTTATTATAAATCATTTGCCATATAAACAATGATATTACTTCACTTGCTGTTGCGGACCTATATGCCAATGTTCGGCAGGATGCTTGTACTGGTCTTTAAGGTCATGAAGGTTACTCAATTTGGAGGCCATTTACCAAAGTCCGTTGTTTATCAAACAAAATAATTTAGATTTAATTCTAGTGTAGTGATAGTATAGTGAAGTCCTTAATACAGTAATACCTTGTTAGTGAGTCATTTCAAGACATAGATGTAGACTTTTTTTTTTTATAAAGATTTTTTCATCATTTACAAAAAAAAAAAAAAAAAAGAAACCTTTAGTATTACACCCTGTAAGTTCAAATTTTGTAAAAGACAGTGTTACACAAAAATTCTTGATTAATGTTTTTTTTTCAGAGTAGCATCATCATGATAGTGTTAATTTCTGTTACATCGATTTCTATACATTTGGTTTTGAACAAGTAACAAGTTTACTTTACTTCAAGTAGCATTTTGTTTTACTCAGAGCTAAGAAAGAATGAATGTAAATAGTTATGTTTACCCAGTTGTCTGTTAACTTTATGTATTTCATCACCGCAATAGTTGTATCAACTGACATTTTTTTCAATGCACATTCCATCGTTTGTAATATATCCTAGCCGTGTTACCACACATTTATCCACTGCATCCGCTATTAAAATTTTAAAACACTTTGTGCCTTGAGCTTATTTGTATTGTGATACACGTAACTGTTTTCTTGGACTTGTTTTTGTTCTATTTTTCTTAAATACATCTTGTGTCCCTTTTTTTTACCTGTTTCTTTTTGTCTTCATTAGTGAAGTAAATATCTAATTTCTCGCTATTTTCTCTCCAGGTATTAGACTCTTCATTCCATCATCAATCACATCTCTATTTCTGTTCTTTTTCAATTTCTTGAGATCTGTACCTTTCTTGGTAATACCCCTGATTGTTTCCAGATATCATCTATGTGTTGTTTTATTTTCTAAGTTCTTGCTTTAGTTTTCATCTTGAACCTTGTTAATATAGTGATACATTTTGGATGCTATTTCTGATTGTCTAAGTGGCCAGACATTTGATTGCCTAGCCTTGTTTTCAAGAGTTTCATGAAGTTGGAAAATATTTTTAATTAAATCTTTGAAATAATGGTTTTCTGGAAGCTTTAATTAGTTGAGCTCCATTTGTGTCTGTTTATAGCACTGATATTCATTCAAGAGCATGACACAGAGGTTACCATGATCATCTTCAATTAACTGTTGTATTAGCTAGTTGTTCATTAGTAATATTTTTCCTTTAGTGAGTATCGATCAATATGTGCGATCAGTGTTTTTTAAGTGTTTTGCGCTACTACAAAAGCCTGTTGATCTTTACAAATAGGTCAACTATTTTTAATTTACATAAATGATATACCAAATTACATTAGTTCAGGAACAAAAGTCAGATAATTTGCAGACGATTGCTTAATATATAGAACAATAAAAACAAGACAGAGAAAATTTACAATTAGATGAGTTACAGAAATGGAAATCAAATTGGAGCATGTTTTTCCACCCAGAAAAATGTCAGTTATTAAGAGTAACAAAAAAAAAAAATAAAACAAATACCATTTAAATTTTATTCATGTTAAACCAATAACACAGACTAAAAACACAAAATGCCTAGGTGTTATATTAAATGAAAAATTTTCATGGAATCTCCATATTGTTGAAACTATCAAAAACTCAAAGCATTAGGGTTTATTAAAAGAAATTTCTATAAATCGAATAAGAACATAAAACTTAAATGTTATTTAACCTTGGTTATGCCAATAATAGAATATGCATCCTCTGTTTGGGAACCCTCAACTCAAGAAAACATTAAGGAACTGGAGCAGACACAAAATAGAGCAGTGAGATTCATAACAAACAAAATATTCGTATTTGACTAGAGTAACACCTATAGTAATATCACTAAATTTAGAAAGCCTTCAGGACATGAGACTCAAAAGTAAAGTACAAAACGTGGTCGAGTGAGTAAGTAGCCTACGCTTGAACTTGGCTTGGCTACATATAAGGGGACTCGAGGTTCGACACCCGACATGGGCAGAGTTGTGTGCTGAAATGCAGCACGGAAAACCTTCTCCCAGATGCCGCCCCCCCCCCCCCACTGGTCAACAAATGTGATTAGGCCATAGCACTCTGAGCATGCTTAAAGTATGAAAGCAGCGCTATATAAAAGTTATAATTATACACCTAGCCATAATCTTCAAATACAAAAACGAAATCTAATAAAAATACTCAGAAAGATAAAGGCACATTCTTCGTTCCATATGCTAGGACAAATTTGTACAAATGCTCATTCTTCCCCAGTGCTATTTAAAGCATGGAATGGGTTGCCTTAGCTAGCCAGGAAAACCAATAACTTGGCAGAATTTAAGTTATTGGTTGACATGCATGACGCATTGAACATCATCTTCTTTTTTCAAGTAATGTCAGTAATAGGACAGATAAGACCTGATGTGCGATTCTTGATATTTTTTAAAACATTGTTGTGAATCATTGCTCATGTTTTTTCCAATTTCTGAAAATTAATACAAAATCTTAAATGGTGATTTTTTTTTTCAATATATGTTTCCTCAGAAACATAATTTTACTTCATTCTTTTTTCTTCAAATTAAAGTTTTTATATTATTTAAAATTATTGTTAATTTACTAGTTGATAAGTTTTATAATTTATTCTTGTGTTGTCAGGTAAAAGAGATAATTGTGCTCAATTTCAGCTTGATCCAATATTTGGTATCTGAGAAATAATGTGTACAAACTTTTTACCAGACATTCATAAACGCTTTGTAAAAAAACATAAAACAAACCTGCATTGTTGGCCTCATTGTTAGCAGCAGTAAAATGATTATGGTTCATGTTCGTTTCATAGAAACGATACGAAAAACCTGAGCTTTAGCTATGATCGATGTTGTTGGTCGGTTGTTGGATTTTAGCATTGTATAGATGTCTACGTATGGTTCGAGATGATCCACATCCCTTTTATGAACCATGTGACCCGGGAAAAGATTTTATCTCGTGGCCAGGATGAGGAATTAGCTCTTCACTGACCCCTCTGTCTGAAGTCCCTCTGCAACTAGACGATCATTTAATCGCATCCGTTTGGTGGTGGGACACGGTCCCTTAAGCCAACGCAATGGGTTCCTCCTCTCATGCGAGGCCGGAGGCCGAGCCCACGGGGGGCCCTCCATATGCCTATAATGTGCAATTGCACCCGTGGGATTGTAGCACCAGATTGCTATTGCAACTAACTGATGTAGGCATAATATATTTTAAATAAACTTTAAATAACTAGAACAAACAGAATTACATATGATTTTCATTACAACATAGACAAATTAAGATGACATAAACTATTTTAACAAGATCTAACTCACTACAAAACATCTTTACTGTTTCAAATCTCTGGTCGTCTGCCGTTTCACATTTGCATTACGCTATATCCTATTGTAATGTAATATGTTGTAATTTTATCATCCTCACTGCATAGTCATCATCAATCAATATAAATTCTCACCGTTATCTTGTAAAAACACACATACAACATACACTTTATAACAATCGGAACGTTTTCGCCTGAAGAACAGCACCCCCCCCCCCCCCCGCAACTGTCCACATATAGCAAATACAATTTTGATAAGAAGCGTCGCATGTCACCGGTATTCGAGGACGTATCTTTCATTTTATATTTACTGATAATTTAATTTGAGATTAGAGTGTGGTGTGAGACAATATACAAATGGGCTCAAATATCAATAGCCTAAGTAGCTTATTTTATAAAGATCCCCCCCGGATCCGCCAGTGGGTTGACCCCCAACGTCCTTCTCATGTTGGGGTATAGCGACAAGGCAGCAGAGAGGTTTGGGTTCAAAGTTATTCTTCTCTATAAAGATCAAGAGAGGAAGATCCTAGCAATGGAGTTGAGATGCTACAGAAGGATCCTTGGTATCATGTTCAAAGACCGCATCACAAACCAAGAGATTAGAGACAGGGTTACTGCAGCGATCGGACCCCATGATGACCTGCTAACTATAGTGAAAAAAACACAAGCTCAAAATCTATGTCCATATTACAAGAACTTCGAGGCTCGCAAAGACCTTCCTTCAGGGAACAGTACCATTAAAAAGAAGAGGCAGACAGAGAAAGCGATGGGATGACAACATAAAAGAATGGACGGGCCTGCCATTGAAAGAGGTTCTAAACAAGGCAAAAGACAGGCAGGAATGGAGAAAGACGGTCGACGAGTCTTGCTTGGTGCCCCAAGGGTCCAACAGACTAAGGGATAGGTAAAGGTAAAATAACGATTAGCTAAATGTAATGTTTTTTGTCTCAGTTTTGACAAAAGATTGAAATAAAGCTCCGTTTCCCTTATTTAGATGTTTTTTTTTTAATTATTTTATTTTCCTTCTCTTCTATACTTCATACTATTGCGTGCAAATCTTTTGGTTTACAATATACATTTTTATAACATATTTAGCCGAGATCTATCTAAATATAAATGAAAATATAATCGTTTATTGAACAATGTCCATCACTTTGATTAGGCCTAATTTCAATTCGGTGGTATTTCGTTTTTTTATTTTCATGTGCCAACCTGCCGCTACCGCATTAGATCTAACATTTATAAAATTCTGGCACATTAATACACACAACAATGGCGTCTCCCTCAAATCCTAGTACTCCTTGTACACCGGTCAGCGGAATCAAAACTTATGGCGAGAAACCAAAAGCTTTTAAAATAGAAGAAGATGGGGATTCATATTTTATTGGTTCCGAGGTGTGAGACTTAATTGTTTGTTTTTGTTTTCTTTTATAGATCTAGATCTTAAATTACTGAAAACCTCACGGGCACTCACACTAGTCTACTCAGTAGTCTCAGTCACTGTCCTCTCACTCTGTCTCAAAAACCGTGAAACGAAAAAGAAAAACGTTAAGTTAGCCTAAGCCGCTAGTCACACAAAGTGACATAGAGAGTCTTGAGTGATTGACACTAACTTATAGATCTAGACTAGACTTTGACTTTTAGTAGTTTTAGTCTTTAACTTTAGTACTTACTTTACTATTTAGACTAGAGTATAGATATGTCACTATGTGAAAATCCGGAAGTAAAAAAATTGTGTCAGATTTTGAGTTTCGTTTTTCTTACTTTCTGTTCATAAGCCCTTGATAGAAATCGATTATGATTTTAAATCCATTGAAATCGTTGCTAAAATGGGTGAATATGTATACATTTTATATTTAGGAACATTTTTTTTATGTGGACTTTAAAAAAAAAAAGTATTTTTTTAAACTTGAAAGTATACATATTTTTATTTTTACTGATACTCATTTCAGGTTACGTTTTAAAACTTTATTTTTTGTGTGCTAATAGAATATATATCTGGCCATATTTCTGCCAAGTTTTATCACGATACCACACTCACTTTCATTGTTATCGATTATAATGTTGATGCATAAATTTGCACTGCTCCCTATGGGATTTTTAATTTTTTTGAAAACTAAACTAGTTTAAGAATAAAATCATGCATAGGCTAGTAGATATAGCAATTATGTATAGGTCTAAATAGATTTTAAAGAGTTTTTTAACTCGCTTCTATTTTTTTAAAATTTTAAAGCGCATTTGAAAAAAAATTGTTTCAGGCGATTTTGATCCCAC